TCCAGCTGCTTCCCCACCTCAGTGACACCTCCAAGACTGGGCCTCTGTTCCCCCAGCCCACACTCCCGGCTCTGGCATCCCGTGGCCAAACTAGAGTGTCGGCATCGGGAGGGTCAGGAATGGCAAGGACAGGTTAGCAGACGGGGGGCGGGCAGCACAGCGGGAGTCACACCATCTCCCAGGTGTGACTGGGCACTCAGCCTGAGGCTGGCCGTCACCCAGGTCCTGGTCTCTTCCTGTTTCCGTGACCGTTCCTTCCTGGCTCCTTCCCGTATCCTCAGACCTCGCTCTGAACTCTGGTGTGGGACTTAAGTAACGTTCGGAGACACACCCGTCTACACGCCCCGTCACAGGGAAGCTTGCCTGGATAAAGGATTCGTTTTATTAACGCCCTCACAGGTTTCTGTATCACACTGTTGGTGAGCCTTACCCATTTGAAAAGCACATTCCATCGTGGCTGGAATGGTTTCTTTGATTTCCTTCTCATTGTTTCATTCTGACTCTAATGTTTATTGGTGTTCTTTGTGAACGGTGACGCTAGATGAGCTTGACGTGCAGGATGAAGTTTAGAGAAGCAGAGGGCTATTGCTAGTCAGGCAAGTAGCAAAGCCCCCAAAGCCCTCATGGCTTTTATTTGGGGAGTACAGCAAATAACAATGGAGCACAGCAAGTGACAGTGACTAACAGGCATGCTTATGAGATCATCAGAGCTGAGTTATACATTAAACTATTAATTTCCTATGTTATACACAGACCCTTTCCACCTGCAGCAGTGCACCCTCCCTTGAACTTTCCATACCCTCATGGGCTATTTATCACCTCATGGAAAATTCTGCCTCTGAACAATAAGTCTTGCTTGCAAGACTTGGTTCTGACGTGGCCCGCTTGCAGGCCCCCCCTTTTCTCAGCAGAACGTCCTCTTCTAGTTAACTTCATTCCGCTTGACCAGCTACAATGTTCTTACCTTCTCACTCTGACCGTCATCCCTTTCTTTGTATTCTGTCGTCCAGAGTCCTTCACTGACATCTTCCAGACCCTGTGGAGATGCTCGCATCTGCTCGTTAGTTTTAACTTCCAGGACGGTTCCATTCCCTGAACTTTCGTTGTTATAGCCACTTCCTGTTGTCCTCACAGTTACAATGTCTTTCCTTATTTCTCTGAGAATATCAGTAACTTGTTTTAGGTTTTCTTCTCCCAATATAGTCTCTGTTCCCTCCAAGTTGTCTGCTTATGTTTAAGACGGGGACCACCAATCTGGGGGCTCTGAGCAGGTGAGTGAGGGGCTGGGTAAGACATGGAGGCATCACTCCCCAAGACCCACATCTTGGGGGATATGAGTGGGGAGAGGGGGTGTCAGTGGGTGCCAGTGAAGATCTGTCGGGTACTCTGGCTGGACTGTTTGGGGCACCTGAGCCCCCCAGGAAGGCACTTCCAGCCTTTTGCCAGTATCCCAGGAGAGGCTGCTGCTCAGCACACAGCGTGACTTCACTTAACCCCTAACTTCCTCAGTTGGTCTCCTGCCTCAACCCCGCCTTTTGCCAAGATGGGAGGAGACCCAGAATCCAAGCGACAACAGAGCCCGCTGTCTGCTCAGCATCCTGTGCAGACAGAGCCTAGAGCTGGTCCCTGACCTGCATGGCAGCCCTCACCCTGCACGGCCAGATGTACCTGGTACCTCCGACTCCTGAACTTTCTGAATCTTCTTTGGGGTAAAACAGGTTAAAACAGGTTGATTCTGTTTGTTTCCCTCCTGCTGCCTTCTCCAGTCTCTACAGTCACCTGCCCCTCTGCTTTCCAGAGGACAGAACGTCAGTGGTGTTTCCTTTTCTCTTCATCTTTGGGGATTTGATGCCTTAAAAGAAAAGCAAAAAGGATTTTATGTTGTCCTACTGTTGTTTCAGGATGAAGCAAATTTAAATTGTTTCCCACTCGTCCCCATCGGCTGTGTTACCAGTAAGGATCCTAACTCACTCTTTTTTCATATCTTTGTTTCAGAGATGCTGGTTCCTCTGAGGCTTTGGAAATAATTTAGCTTCCTTCCCAGACTGGCTAGTTAGCTCGGTTTGCTGGGCTGAGTTCTCCCACCAGCTGCACGGTTGGCAGCTTGCCCGTCCCTGCACTCAGCCTAGTCCTGGGTGAGGGGCTGCCACAGGGCCCATCGAAACCCTGTCGTGAAGGTGCAGCCAGGCCCCAGGCCACTCAGGGCGCTCCCTCTGCAGCCCAGGCCTGTGGGTGGCCTGGGCGGACCCACCCTGACCCTCAGCCCAGGCTCTGTAGCTCACTGCCAGCTGTGGATCCTCGGTCTCACCAGCCGGCCTTTCTTACTTGGGCGTTGCCCAGGGTGTTTTTAAGTCACGTTCTGTGTTTTGGAGCCGAGAGCAGGATCTGGCACCTGCCCTTGCTGCTGTTTAATTCTCAGCTGCCAGCGAGGCCCAGCCTGTGCCATGCGGCTGGCTCCCCCTCGCTGGGCCTGCTTCTCAGTTCACCGCCCATCTTCCCCGCCCACTGGCAGCACCACCTCACAGCTCCATTCTCTCCTCAGGCTGCACTCCCTAGACAACCGCAGCTCCCACCTTCAAACACTGGTCCCTCAGCCACCTGGGTCTCCCCGGCACCTCCAGGGAATGTTTTCTGTGTAGCCAGCATCTTCACCATGAGAGTGTTCCGAGTAACTCACACGCTAGAAAATTCAAAAGGCAGAGGGAGTCCTCAGTGAGTGCCCCTCCTGCCTGTCACACCGCCCTGCTCCCCCGCACCCGCATGACGTGTCCTTCCAGAGCACGCACATACAGGAGCAAACGCTCAAATGCACCTGCTCCACGCCTGGCCTCCCCTGTGCAGCCCCACTGTGCGCGCACTGTGTCCGTCCGGGCTCCTGCTGACGTTGGGGTTACTTTTCAGTGATGAACTGAGAAACCAAGTACGTAGGTCACTTCACGGGGGGAACACAGCTGCAGGACCACAGTGTGGGAAAGGTGCCACCTGGCGTCTCTTGCAATACGGGCTTCCCGTCTGTGTCCACCAGCAGTGCACCGAGGCCTGGTCTGCAGTGAGGGTGGGAGACCGCAGGTGCCTATGGCTCCTGTGTACAGAAGGGACTGCGTGTATTTTGTGGGATTTCGGTGTTAGTCACATTTCCTTCCCTGTTGGCATCCTTTGCCCACGTGGATCAGGTTGTTGGTCTTTCGTGTCGGTTTACCAGAATTCTTAGATTAATCAGACCTTTGCCTCTGCGGTTTCTGATTCTCGTTTGTTTGTTTTTTTGACTCTTAAGTAGCTTTTGCTGTGCAGTTATCTCCTTTTATGTGGGTTAGCTGCCCTCTGATAACTTAGGGTTTTCCTGCTGCCATTGAAGCCGCTGCGACGCGGTCTCCTCGATCCGCCCTCCTCTGGGCTTCCTCTTCTCCAGCCCCTGCTGCTCAGTGGCCTTTGCTTGCACCAGGCCAGTGGCCCGGCATCTCCTGCTCTTCAGACACCTCTCCACTCCCCCTGTCCGATCTCATGCAGGCCCAGGGTTCCCTGTGCCATGCACATGTCGCAGCACTCACATTCAGGTTTCCATGAAGACAGCCCCGACTCCTGCACCCACAGCCTGCACGTACTCACTGCCCCTCAGAGGCCCACTCAGCTCTGCTTTCTGAAAGCACTCCCGCCCACCCCGACGGTGCAAGCGCCGCCGTGCACCACAGCCCTTCTAGAAAGGTGATGTTTGCAGCCTGAAGTAAGACCCGGAAAGCTTGTCCGGCTTCCCAGTCTTCCTCGTCATGCAAGATCTGTCCCTTTGTCACTCCCTGGGGAAGCTGCACAGATACAGTCCCTGCCCGGGCCCTGTTTGCCTCCTTGCTCAGTCAGGAGCCTCCAGGTCACACTGTGGAACCCAGGGATGGCACTGAATGGGCACCCTTGTGCAATACAGAGTCTGCGCCCCAGATGGACAGCGTCCCTTGCCGGCCCGGGCACTGCGAGCCAACACCAGTCACGCTCCCGACAAGCTGGCTCCTCGCATGCGCTTCGCGCTCCCCGAAGACCAGGGAGACGAGCGGGACCGCACAGGATAGGATGGGCACCGGGGCACC